CCTACCGTTATTATTGAGCTGATCTGGCCCATGCCTTCCAATCACTCCAGACCAGGTGTCAGCATCATGACCAACTCGGGCATTGAAGTCACCCAACAAGATGACTCTGTCCCGAGTGGCCACTTTAGCCAGCACCTGTGACAGGAGGTCATAGAAAGCGTCTGACTCATCGGCTTTGCTTGCATCCCTCCACGGATGTTCGTCTTCGGTGGGGGCATAAGTAACCACGACCACCACTCCTCGCCTCTGGTTGATGGGAAGGCGAGCCCAAAGTATCCTGGGGCTTACAGCTTCCCACACCTCACCGCCACGCTCCCACGCCCCCTTCATTCTTTTGTTCAGAAGAAGAGCCACACCCTGTTGTTTGGCAGTCTCCTGCCCCGAGTAGAGGACTGTCCACCCCTCATGGTGGCAGGAGCCAGAACCGGTCCACCGGACCTCCTGAATGCCACAGAGATCCAGGCGGTACCGGTCCAGCTCCCGACAGAGGAGTGGCAGCCTCTCCTCCGCAGTGAGCGTTCGAACATTCCACGTGGCCATCCGCAATGGTTTTTTGTTGTTTCTGGAGGAGCCCCGAGGGTGAAAATTCAATCTCCTGGCTCCGCCAAATGGGGTTTGGCCAGGAGACGTCATAAAAGCCTGACCCCCCGGGGCCTCCGGCACAAGCTTATTTGTTACAGGTTTATGTTTAATTCGTGGTTTAGTGGTAATGAATTGAAGGTGGAGGGGTTACCAGCCCCTCACACCCGTCCAGAGCCCCCGTTTAGCCACTGTGGTGGTCACAGACGCCATGAGGGGAGAGGCCAATGGGCATTGGCCCTCCCCCCACAGCACTGCCCACGACAGTGTTGCCCGTCCGGCACCGCGAGGAGGTAGGAGGTTGTTTTGCCGGACACACACAATACACACACATACACACAGACATACACATACATACAAACACACACATACATACACACAAACACATACACAATACACACACACATACATACAGACACACACATACATACACACAAACACATACAGACACATACATACATACACACATACATACAGACACACAGACATACACATAAACACATACACACATAGTCATGACCTGGCTTTGCCCGGGACTTGTATCCACCACGCCCGGCCGCCTTTGTCTCCCCAGTGGCGATGTTAATACGCCACACCAGTTACTCGTTTTGAGGCTGAGTCCCTCCCTCGCCACTCTGCCTCCCTCGCCACTCTGTAGAGGACGTGAAATTTGTATGAATTTACCTCAGAGTGGCGTGTTGGGTGTCGAGGCCTAGCACCGTGCAGAGCCTCCCGCCTTGCCTGATTTTCCCACCCGGCGAACGCTGGGTACGGGTGCCGGTCCCCCCCCCCCCCCCCCCGCGCTATTAAAAATGGCGTCCACCCCGCGGCGAAAAGTTGCTACTCGTTGCCAGGGGCAACCGCCGTCCAATGAAAGCGGCGAAGGCGTCGTTAGCTGTTGCCAGGGGCAACCGCCGTCCAATGAAAGTGCGTATGGTCCGAAATCCACACAGACAGACAGACAGACATGCACGATTTTATATATATAGAAGATAGACAACACGTTCTACTTAATTAAATTGACTTTTAATAAATGTTTTCTCCTACAACATCAGAGTGCAGCGCCACATTAAATACGCACTACAATGACAATAGTTTAAAGCGATTTGAAGCATGTTTTATTTAGGGGGGGGGGGGTCTGACTTTTTGTGACGCCGTGTGACGAAGGGGGGGGGGGTAAAAAATCGTCCAAAATCGCGTGACGTCATTTATGGACGGCCCCTTACCTCTGCTCTGGGACTGGGGTACCAATCAATCTGAAATCAGTGCCACTCCGTGATGTCGAAACGCAGCGAGGACGATTGCGCTGAAACCCTGAACGCTCGCAAGCACCATGGTGGTGCATCGTGTACAGCTCGTCGAGATGAGTCGATTGCCGCATCGCCGACCATCAACAGACTAAAGATGACTGCATCACGGACATTGTGCGAAAGACTGGGTAATATGGTACAAAGGGGTACCGCCATAAGGTTCATACAAGGGAGATATGTGTGGGAGACTCGGGGCTGTTGCAGTGATTACAAGGGAACGTGTCTTCAATGAAGTGCCATCTCAAGAGAAGTATGTCAAGTCGTCATTATACACGCATACAAAATACAAATGTGGTGTGCGTGCATCCATAAAAAAAATTAACCCGTAAAAACAAAGTTTTTCACTATAAATCCTTTATATGCGTGGCGGCTAGAATCCTCTCGTCCTCTGGCTTGAGATGCCTGCCACCTATGTGTCAGATGATTGCCTGCCACCATTAAGCAATTGGTAATTAAATATAATTTTTTTTGCTAAAAAGTGTAACATTTTGGAAAAAAAATTTTCACGAAAATAAATTGTCTCGCACAACGAGTCTGTGTGGAAAATGTCAGCTCGATTGGATCACGGGAAGTGGGTTAAAAAACGACCGAAAGGTTTGCACGGTCGTAAGCAAGCAAGCAAGCACGCAAGCAAGCAAACACGCAAGCAAGCAAGCGAACTTAATATAAAGGATTTAAAAATACCAATACATGCAAAATAATGCACATTCAACAAACCTGTATCACGTGAAATCAGTTTTGCTAAATATCTGAAATGTCTTCTTGGTTCTTTCGGTAAAGTCACGTAGTGCTGCTCGCAAACTTTACCGAAAGAACCAAGAAGGTGAATCCCTGCAGTCACGAAAGCTTTAAATCGAAATATCTGAAATGTGTTTACTTGAACCAGGAATTCAAATACAGTTTCCCTTTTGTGTTATCCGAGCACTTGATGCAAAACATGTTTCGTGACATGGTTCCTGTCTGAGCTGGCATTGCACCTCCCCACTCTCCCCTCCCCACGCATCCCCTCCCCATCCTCCCCACCCAGCCCCTCCCTACCCTCTCCTCTCCACCCAGCCCCACCCCTCCCATTTTTGGATGCACGACGGACGGACACAATAATCCCCTATGGGCTGGTGTAACCAGGAGGTTCCTACCAATATAACCTCTTGTTGTAACAGCTCTCTCGCTGGGTCAGCAGTTCCACTGCTGGATTATTTTTTCCGCCTGAGGACGACCGCTTGTGTTGCGATCGAAACGTCGTGATATTTTTTTTCTACCTAAGTGACTTTACCGAATGAACCAAAGAGTATACAGCATTTCTTTACAGTGTTACATTTAAATGTAGAATTTTTCATCTTAATTATGAGTTTAACAATGCTTCCCTTTTTGTTGAACTGTAACACATTTCACAACCTTGACCGTGTGGGTATTTAAGTAATGTGTATTGTTGTGTCTCGACCAACGAACCGTTCGACTGACGAACGGGTCTCAGGAACGAATAAGGTTCGTAAACCGAGGACTGCCCGTAATTGGAAAAATATTGGGGGAAGCTGCAAGGGAGGAAATGAGTGTGGCTTGCTGACGCCGTTTGGTACCGTCTGCTGGTAGCACTGATACGGCTGGTCGGTGGTTACGGATTTATTTTTTAAGGCGGAAGGGTGTGGAGGGGAGGGTGTAAACGACCAACAAAAAACGTGTTGGTTATCATTTGTTTGTCAGTTATCTACATTATTGACCAATTGTCCCAACGCCATTGTTTTCCAGCCTTGAATGTTTATCCACAACCACAAAGAAGAGCGAGCACCACCCATGTCTGTCTGCATTTGTGCCTCCACTGACATACGTGTCCGTCATCAGTTGTTTGTCCATCAGAACGGAATCAAAACTCAAATAAAATCGCTTCATCGGGAAGTCTTCAGGTCAGAAGACGTACCGAGGCTCGCACAAGGCCATGCGGAGGGGCGTGTGGCACCGTTTGGCACCAGCTATTATAGAGTGTGGTCATGTCGCTACGGTTCTCTGCGGTGAGTACCATGTCTTTCAGGCTATGCCTTTCTGAATTAAATGAACGCTGAATCGCTTGCACGTTCCGAGATTTAGTGGTGAATGGGACCCACGATGCTACTTGCAGACGTCTCGAAATGGAAAAGGGTCCATTAAGTGTTGAGTGTTCACCTTTTCACACCATATATTTCATTTGGGCTATGTTGGCAACGGCTAATATCGGTGGCGACTGATATCTCAATACGGTCATGGGCCCCCACTCATTAAACTGCACTGACCAGCATAGAGAGGTATGAATAAAATAAGCACCATAATTGCCATCGTGTGGGAAAGCCTTCACAATGTTTCAGATGTCTTGTAACTCCCAATTAATTCACCCCTATGATTTTTTCCCGTGTATATTTATTTCTGTTTTCAATAAACCTTACTTTAAAAATAGATAAAGTTTTAGAGAATTAAATCGGGGTGTAGCAGTGGTTTGCTATAAACAATAAAGGGCTGAATATGACAACGACACAATATTTAGCGAGCACTGGTACACATGAGTTGTCAGCTACACAGGCGTTTACAAATTTTTGTATCAATATAAAGTACTTGTAGTTCGCTGTGGGTCAACCCACAGGTTTGTGACATTGCTTGCTCATTTGGCCTGTTAAAATAAAGTAGAAAATGCTTTCACGAATTAATTAGCCATATATCTCAGTTGCAGTATATCGACTCATGAGTCTTAAGTTTACTGGCAAAAAACGAATACATTAAATTACATATGTACGGTATTGCTCTCTCATATTTCTTGTTCGGTGAAAAATGCAGGAAGTTATCAGAAAGAGTATATCTGCCATTACAAAATAAACAAGTCCACTATGTATCTGGCGATTAAGTGCTGCCGTGGTGTCATGGTTAGCATACTGGCGCGTTGCAGTAGTTGAAGTAATGTGCAAGTTCCTTAAATCATCCCTACATTTGTCCACCCAAGACTACGAATGGGTGCACCACAACGAATGGCAGGTTGCATGTGGTGGGGTTAACGTGTGGGGTACTCCCCACATCTTCCAAATGCAACATGTGTAGGTGGAAGAGTAGGCCAAAAACTAACCTCGAGAGGTGCATCTCGTGGGAGGCTCTTCCACCAGCAGCGGTGTGAGGAGGACATGGGCATTGCTTCTTTTCCCCTTCCACGTATCTCCTTCCACTGGGTAAAATCATTATCCAGTTGTAAGATGGAACATCATTTCTATGCTGGTGACATCCAGATTCCGTTGCGATGGTTTTCCTTTCCACCATCCGCAATGCCCCAATCTTGAAGTCCGGCCTTTGATGCGATTTCCGACTGAATTGGCTCCAAATCGCTTCGTTTCAATACCGCCGTAACTGAGATCATTCAAAGTGGTAAAAAGTAAGAGCCTTCAAGTGAAATGTTGCACCTTCTGAACTGTAATGTTACATTGGGAAAAAAGGGTGCGCAGCCGTGAGGTTATTTTAGACCCTAACTTTCATCACCCACCTATGTCTCCCTCGTCTATAAGACCTCGTTATCTGAACATTCGTAACACTGCCCGCACACGGCATTTTTTTGGGCTCCACCGGCTGCTGAGAGCCTAATTCACGCCTTCATTACCTCTCCCACATTCCCTCGTTTCATGGTTACAGATCATTCAGAATGAGCGTTACAAGGCTCCTCCTCACCTGTACGTCATACCTGTCAACCCATATGGTTCACTCGTATTCTTGTACATGGTAATTGAGTTTTGAGGTCCATACGGTGTACAGCCGTTTCAATACGGGCAACGGTTTTTTGTCTGTTTGTGTTTCTCCCTTGTGATGAGACTTTGTAGGATGAACGTTGATATTTTTACGGGGCACGGGGTGATCAATAATGTCTGAATTGGTCTCTAATAAGGTAGGCACTGATAAGGGGTTGACAGGTATGTGTACATGAAAACGTGATAACATCACTCCAGTACCCACGATATCTCCACTGGCTTCCTGTCAAGTCTCGGATTCACTTTAATTTAAGATTGCAGTGATCGTTTTCTGAGATTATTCATGGTCTTGCCCCTGCCTCTACCTTCTCCTCTCTCTCATCTCGCTGTACCCTCTGGAATGTTGTCTCCACTCCAGTAACAAAGGCCGCCTTATTAGAACGCTCACAAGTCCAAACTTTGTTCCATGGAAGGTAGCTGTATCTCAGCTTCCGCTTATAAAGTCTTAAATTCTCTTCGTCTTGAACTGCGTGGAGTTGAGAATTCTGCCCTTGGTTTCAAATCAAATGTGTTTTTTCTCTCTTCCCCTGTGAAGTGTCTGGAGGTGCGTTGATTGCATTTAGACGCTATGTAAATGTAAATTGCATTGTATTTTATACCTTAGAATAAGAAAAACAAAAGTCATACCCCATTAAAAATACCTACAATGTGGAAAATGACTCGACCGCAAAAAACTCACTGTGGCTTTGGTGTACATTTATGGAAATAAACTGCGGCACCGTTTGCCAAATAAGACCATTTGCATGCGAGCTGTCCGCACAAAGCCTCCAACTATTTGCTTTCACCAAGTTGACCAAGTCCTGAGTGTCTTAGAACAGAGATGAATACTGTCGGTGGACTCGTGTGGAAATCTTTGTCTGTGAGTATTTGTACATTTGTAAAGGCGATTCGTTTCTCATTTGATGTCGTCCACCCATAATTCATTTGTTGGTGTTATCCCATCAGTACGCGTGCACGTGGATGCCTTTCATGGTTGGCGCTTGACGTTATCGACTCAATTGAGCCCTGGCAGCAGGAGTTAAGCTTACGCAATGTTGCTGACATTTTACTCACGTTGTTCATGTTTTCTTAGAGTATATATTTGTAATTTGCTGTGGTTGGTACTTGTTAAAACCTAGGCCTTCTTTGAGATTGGTTCTGAGCTTAACTTCAGCCAAATGTTCGACGGCTGAGTTCAGGAAAATATTTAGTGAGAAATTAAGCCCTGGTTACAATGGCTAATGGCCATGAATGTGTACGAATATTATGGGAAATTTGTATGTTTTTGAAAACTTTGTATGAAATCTAAATAGAATGAAAATCTTATAAAGACATGTTTAATACATAACACAAAACAAGCATTAACATATTCGTAAAGAATATATGTAACATAAACATAAGTTTAAGTAACAAATATAAGCAACGAAATAAATAAATAACTAATTGAGGCGTATTGTACGCTTACTTAGTTGTGTGTAAAAAACTTGATATGGGGCTTTCGTGACTGCAGGAATTACTCTTTGGTTCTTTCGGTAAAGTCACGTAGAAGGGAAATAATAAATTTTCGATTTAAAGCTTTCGTGACTGCAGGGATTAATATTCTTGGATCTTTCGGTAAAGTCACGTAGAAGGGAAATAATAAAGTAATAAAAATCAAACAATAAAATTCTCACGACGTTTCGGCCACAACACAAGCAGCCGTCCTCAAGGAGAGAATTTTATTATGTTTTATTTTCTTTATTTCCCTTCTACGTGACTTTACCGAAAGATCCAAGAATATAATTTAATTACTATAATATATTTTTGCGTATAATACGTCTAACAGAGAGAGAGTTCCTGCCTCTATATATATACACGAACGCTCACCAGCATTGCTTTAAGGAAGCCAAACTGCTCATGGGACGCCGAATGTCGAAGATTCTATTGACTCTTTCTGCTGAAATGATGCACTCCCAGAAGGTGGTGTGGCCGGCGAGGTTATGTAAAAACAAAATGCTCGCGTCCACCCACCCCTTCCCGTCCAATCTCTCCGCCTGTGTGCGTGTGGTGCGTGTGGATCGAAGGGCGAGCAGCAGCAGCAGCATGCGAGGGGAAAGCGTGCTGTTTTGTTACGCTAACCACGAGTTGCTTGCCTCCAGCACAGTTTGCACTGTGCACGCCGTTGCTCATATGACGTTAATCTTCTAAGAATTGCTCCGCCAAGCCACTGCACACACTCAATTACGTTTACCCCCCCCCCTTCCCGTGAAAATAACACAGTCATTTTACACCTTAAATTCAACGGAGCCAGGGTGTGTAAATGTGTATATGTGTGTGTCAAGGACTCAATTCACTAGGTTCACCGTTACGTGCATGTTATGTATATCGTTTATTGTTAAATTTGAATCACAGTTCCTATGATTACTGTTGTTACATTGTTTTTATAGCTTTATTTTGGTGAATTCGAAAACATGGTTAAGCCATATTCTTGGTTATTTCGGTAAAGTCACGTAGAATGGAAATAATAAAATAATAAAAATAAAACAATTAAATTCTCACGAATTTCTTGCTGTGGTTTTCACGCCTGATGAGGATTGCTTGTGTTGCAATCGAAACGTTGTGAGAATGTAATTGTTTAATTGTTCATTATTGTATTATTTACCTTCTACGTGACTTTACCGAAAGAACCAAGAATATGAATCCCTGCAGTCACGAAAGCTTTAAATCGAAATGGTTAAGCCATGTTTCTTGCGGAAGTGCGGAGCTGGCCTGATAACTTGAATCTAAATTGTCCTATGGTTGTTAATGTTTGATTTGCATCACACTGGGTTTTTTTCTGGAAGATTTGCTGGTTTATCCAGGATGTTTCTGTTGCGCGTCGTCGCTTTAAGATGTTCTCTGTTCATATTTAGTTTATTGCGGTTGCACCCGACTCAAGAGCCGCATGTCTCACAGGGCTATACCTCATACATAAAACTTGAAAGTGGGAAGCGGTATATTTCGATTTAAAGCTTTCGTGACTGCAGGGATTCATCTTCTTGGTTCTTTCGGTAGTCACGTAGAAGGGAAGTATTAAAATAATAAAAATAATAAATGTGTATTATTTTATTATATTATATAATATTATTTTATTTTATTATGTTTTATTTTTATTATTTTATTACTTCCCTTCTACGTGACTTTACCGAAAGAACCAAGAAGATGGGGAGCAGTAGTGGAGCGCTATGAACCCGGTGACCGAGTTCGATTCCCGCTCACGGCCAACACCGGTGACGATTATCTGAACCGGTCCAGAGCTTCCCCTAGGGCGACTGAGCCTCAAATGAGCACCTGGTGCTGTGTGTAAACATCGCCACTGGGGAAACAAAGACGGCCGGGCGTGGTGCAGGCCACCTACCCCATCGTATGTCGTGCCAGCCTTCATAGGTGCTACTCGCTAACAGCACTTGTCCCGACAAGTCTGTTAAGGCTATACGGGGGATCTTTGTCTTTGATTTGTGCCTGTGAACCGGGGTCTCTTGTTTCAGATCGTCCTTCTGGCTGTGGTGAATGCACGCGCGTGCAACGAAACGACCCATTACTTGTTTGACAACATCTGTTGTGAAAAGTGTCCTCCAGGTAAAGTAAAAGCAATATCTCAACAATTTGATTTGACAACTGAAATGTATCGAGAAACTCTTATGACTTGCGGTTGCAAGTTATTTCGGGCAGAGGAGTCAGGATTTTCAGGTAGTGGGGGGCAACTCCTCCAGCAATGCAAAATGATAGAGGAGTTGTTAGTAAGTAAGGACTTGCCCATTGCCTGTTATTCGACGCGTGTGCTCGCTGAAGGCATCGCGTTCGCTGAAGAGAAGTCGTGTACTATATACGCAACTTGCGCACAATTCTGAGTCACTTATAACTGCTGTGCCGTTACTTATTGCCAATTATGGACTCAGATTATTGTCCAATCATCTCATAGAGTCCCTGGCACACAATAATATGCTACACAGTGGCAGTGGGGGTCGCAAAATCCTGATTTATCACTAATAAACCACAATGATCCGATCGAAATTAGGTTTTCGATCTGATCATTGGGGGGGTAGGGGGGCACGTGCCATCCACCCCCACCACTGGCTCCGCCACTGATTTCGCGTGTACTTATGCACTTGTAATTCCGTGGCTATAACCATTTCATTACATCAGTGCATCTTCATCTTTACTGCAGCCTTCTTAACCCCTTTTAGTTCTCAGTCGTTCAAAAAAGAATTACGATGTTAATAAATACATCGAGGTTGATGAAACAAAGTAGTTGTACTTACGTACCCGTGCTTAATTTGTGTTTTCGATAAACTTCAAAACAATCTTGCACCCCCAGAAAGGGCATCTCGCACCCCCTAAGGGTGCGTGCACCACAGGTTTAGGAACCACTGCATTACAGCATCAAGCGACTCAGACGTACCGTCGTATGGCCAACAAGCATCAACCGTCATGCGACTGAGATCCAGTGACACCTTCATGTCAAGCCATCGACTTTTTCTCTCTCCATAATTTGGCGTGCGACGTTTCCCTCCACGTCCTGTTGCGAAACGAACATGTGTTCAGCGGTATTTTATAAGCCTACAGATATTTTTGGTTCTTTCGGTATCGTCACGTAGAAGGGAAATTGTACTTTATTATTATGACTTTATTATTTCCCTTCTACGTGACTTTACCGAAAGAACCAAGAATATGAATCCCTGCAGTCACGAAAGATTTAAATCGAAACCTACATATGTCATCACTGTACCTTCAAAATGGCATTTCGTATGCATGTGGTGTAATAACGTTGACCATGACAGTGCGTAATCTGTGTTCCTGCCCCTCGTGCAGTACGGTATATGCTTTCACGCTTCATGGATACAGCTGTGATCGGGTGCCTGGTGTACGCAGTGCGTTCGGGGTGCTGCGTTAGATACCTGGAAGCGGTGAGGCACAATGTTTGTGCGGAGCGGTGGCGCAGCGGTTAGCGCACCCCCTACGAACCCGGCAGCCATCCCGAGTTCGATTCCTGCTCACGGCCAACAACATTGGCGAATATTTGAACCGGTCCTGGCCTCCCCGAGGTCGACTCAGCCTCAAATGAGTACCTAGTGCGGTGTGTTGAAAACATCGCCACTTGGGAGACAAAGGCGGTCGGGCGTGGTGCTGGCCACCCACCCGCCCACTCCTTCATAGGTGCTCGCTATAAGCACTTACCCCAAGTCTGTTAAGGCTATACGGGTCATCTTTGTCTTTGATACCTTGAAGGCCTCATTGTCTAGCAACGGCATATAAGAAGACGACATTGCATTTCATCAGACACGTCCATTCACCGAGGTCAACAGACCACAGTTCACGACTTATACTATTTCTTGTTTCTTCTCACTCAGAACGCAACTACTTCTGCACGTGTCTTGTTGCCACAGATTGACGTGTCATTAAACGATGGAGGGTTTTTTTCCATTTGTTTTTGTTGTTTATCCAAATGCGCGTGTGTGCATTTACGGCAATTTGGCAAATGCAGTCAGTCGAGGTTACTTCCATTGTCAAGGAAGTGACAGCTACTCATGGTTCTTGTGTGCGGGCGACCGTTCAAGTCCAGACACACCCAAAGTTTACAAATGCCATACCGTACCCAGAGGCCCCATCCGGTTTTACACACATTTTTTTGAAGTGACATAAATTGTGATTATCCTTCGATTTAAAGCTTTCGTGACTGCAGGGATTCATCTTCTTGGTTCTTTCGGTAAAGTCATGTAGAAGGGAAATAATAAAATAATAAAAATTAAACATAATAAAATAAACATTCTCACGACGTTTCGGCCACAGCTTAAATATACGCTGCCAAGCTTGGCGGTGTTCATTGCGACGCTGTCTTTCCAACAGCTCTGTTTCTTCACCTGAGGACGGCTGCTTGTGTTGTGGCCGAAACGTCGTGAGAATTTTTATTTTGTTATGTTTTATTATTATTTTATTATTTCCCTTCTATATGACTTTACTGAAATAACCAAGAAGATGTGATTATCCTAACGACAGAACTTATATTTCGATTTAAAGCTTTCGTGACTGCAGGGATTCATCTTCTTGGTTCTTTCGGTAGCCGTCCTCTTCACCTGAGGACAGCTACTTGCGTTGTGGCCGAAACGTCGTGAGAATTATTTTATTATGTTTTATTTTTATTATTTTATTACTTCCCTTCTACGTGACTTTACCGAAAGAACCAAGAAGACAGAACTTATGATGACCTCTTAACCTTTAGAAAAGAGATGAACAGACACCACCACTTCTGCTTATATCTGTGTCTCCACATGTATTATTACCACAGCCAGCAGCCACACGACTTTTTGGGATTGCATCATTTCAGCAGCATTGATTCGATTAGCACGGTCGGCTACGTACGGCGTGAAAGAAGTTCAACGTACATACTGTACATAATAAGCAAACTCTGGACTGGTTTCAAACACACAGTATATTTGTATCACTGGCAGAGTCAGCCTTGCGAGATGTTAACTACCTCACCTGGTGTACAGGAGGTCGTGGGTTCGATCTCGACCTGACACCTGTATATTTGGAGTTTGCATGTTCTCCCCGTGGTCGCGTGGAAATTTCTCCGGATCCACCGGGTTTTTCCCTCCTCATTTAGAACGAACGTGCGTTTCGAGTATTTGGCTGCTATAAATTTCCGCATGATAAGCCACTTCGTTGTGCCAGGTCGCGTCTGAAAAAGTGGGCCTTAACCTGGTCAAATAAAAATAATGTAGTTTTATACTCTTTGGTTATTTCGGTAAAGTCACGTAGGTAAAAATCACAGCATTTTCTTGCTAAAAATCTTCAGCAAGAAAATGCTGTTGTTGTCCCACCTGGTGAAGATCGCTTGTGTTGCGATCGAAACGTCGTGATTTGTTTTAATTTATTTTATTTCTAACTACGTGACTTTACCGAAAGAACCAAAGAGTATGGATTCCTGCAGCCACGAAAGCTTCATATCAAGAATGTAGTTTTTAGTTTAGTTTCAATGCTGGTTAACATCCAGGTATTACAGACATGGGCCCCCTCTTTAAGACAAGGCCCCGGGTTTAACGCAAAAATACCAAATACGTAGCTCAAAATAATCATGGGCATCGTTGCGGGGAATGTAATCAACAAAAGAAAAATCAGACAATACATCTCAAAAGAAAAATCAGACAATACATCTCCATATATATATCTCGAGAGAAGCCCTCGAGGGGGCATTATGGCCTACTCTTCCACGCTGACCAGACATCATGGAAGATTTGGTGGGGGAGGCGGGCAGCTATATATCGCCCCTTAGTCGATTGGCTGCTTCATTAATGTTTTATGTCGGATGCAGGCACGTTTTTGTCTTTGCCGTGTGGTGCCAGCTCCAAGACACAATGTGCGCCCTGCAGGTCTGGAACATTCCAGAACGAGCTGAACAAGCGCCAGAACTGCGAACCGTGCACCCGCTGCAACACGGGTAATGACTCAAACGCAACGACTTACTACTGAGCGGAACTTTACATGGTTGCTGCTGTACAAGCCCTCCCAACTCAGTTTATTTAGGTGTTAATTCTAGATTTGAAGCTTTCGTGACTGCAAGGATTCATACTCTTAGTTCTTTCGGTAAAGTCACGTAGGTAAAAAATTTAATTAAAATTAATAAAAATAAAACAATAAAAATCACGACGTTTCGGAGGCAACACAAGCTTCCGTCTTCAGGTGAAACCGTCACAGCAAAATATCTGTACAGATATTTTGCTGTGACGGCCTTCTCCACGTCATGTCCAGTCATGGATGTCATTTGAACGTTCTTCACCGTGCTGATAAATGCAGATTGGCGAAGTGGGGGACACCAGATATTTTGCTGTGACGGTTTCACCTGAAGACGGAAGCTTGTGTTGCCTCCGAAACGTCGTGATTTTTATTGTTTTATTTTTATTAATTTTAATTTCATTTTTTACCTACGTGACTTTACCGAAAGAACTAAGAGTATTCATTTAGGTGCTGAAGTGTTGTCAAGATGTGTACGCACAGCGCAAGAAGATTTACACTTCAGAGCCCTTTGTCAATCCACTGCTGGATGAAGGCCTTCTACACGTCATGTCCAGTCATGGATGTCATTTGAACGTTCTTCACCTTGCTGATCAATGCAGATTGGTGAAGTGGGGGGCACCACTGATTATAGTCGTTTTTGGGAATTTATTTGGGTCTCCGGGTTCATTGAGCAGCGTCCTAACCACTGTGCCACCGCTCCCATTCACATTATATACAGGACTGTACTTAACAATGAGATTGGCAGTGACATTTCAAACTCCGATACTTCAAATCACGTAGGTTGTTATTGAATTTTAAAGGAGCAGTAAGTGTATTCGCGTCGTAAACATGTGTGCACGGGTGGGTAACCACCGCCGTTTAAAAGGTGATTAACACTCGTGTGCCCGCGCACGGGAGTGTGGTGTTTTTATTATTACACGCTTTCTATTAACTCACTCTGTCTGTTGTTGTTGTTGTTGTATCCTCAATCTTGTAACTCAATTTTAACCAACTTCTCAATGTGGTATCGACTGCAAACTTGGTATACTTATGTCATACTGATGACAATACTATATTCTATCATAAAAAATGTATATACATTTTTAAACCATCTTTTTTATATGTTATGTTTCGGCTTGGGTCTAATTGTCCACGGTCCCCCTTACGTTATGGCAAGCTTCGGGGCCACTTCCTGGAGTCGTGGAGTTCTTCCAATAATAGTACGGTACATTTCATTAAAGCGTGTTTTTAAAAAAAGAGCTTTTTAAAATATTACTTATTTTGTATTGCTTTCAGCTCTGTCTCATCAGGAGTTGGACAAATGCACAGCTGTGCGCGACCGGGTTTGTGGTTGCGCTCCCGCAGTTCACGTGCGCCACTGCCTCACAGATGACTGCTCCAAATTCCTTTGCTGCAAAGGCTGCCCTCAAGGTCACAAGATTGAACGAGCGTGTGAGTGACGCACCTCTATTTCGTAACTTAAGTGTAAAGTACAGTAACTTCCCCGAGCAACATTTGTGTGCTGAATTTTAATCTTGTCCACATAATTCAGGAATCTTAACGTTTTCTGCAGTAAAAAAAAAAGAAAATCAACATAACATCAATGTTGATGATGGTAGTTGCTGAAGCCCTTTGGCACAAAAAGAATCTCAATATTACTTCGAACGTAAGTGGACGTTTTATTTTGCTTGCTCTCGATTCTTCACATATTTGGCATGTTGGCACGAAGTCTTTTAACTAACACTGTGGCTGAAATGTAGTGGAAAACTGCCAACTTTTAGCCTCGTCAACACTGCACGCGCAACAAAATATCTCTTTTTTTAAGACTCGGCATTTTGTCCATTGACGAAATGCTTTTATATCGCGTGCACCTGGAATTTTTATTTTTAGAGCTTGAATATCTGATTATGCATTGTAGTAATCGATTGCTCTACCGATGGGTCAGTTCAATTACTTGAGTAATCGGATGAAAACATTGTTTCGGGGTGGGGGGCGTGGGAAAGTATCACCTCTGTTCCCACATGTGCCGCTGGACGGGAGGTTATGTGCGGCGGGGGGGGGAGGGGGCTTTGTGGTGTCATCGGCATCGTTATCACACCGCGAGGGCTCGTGGGGTCAAAACATTTTATTCTTTGACTAATTATTTGTTGATTGTTTAACTTGATTTTAAATAACTTATTTAGACGTGTGCGTGTGAATGAAGGGGGGGGGAGCGTAAGTAAATCGACTCGGGGTTTGTTGACTCAAGGTGTACATCACTTCCTCGACTATGTAAACAAGCCTCGGGTTTGTATAAGGTTTGTGGTTAAATGTAGTGACAGAACATGTTTGTTTTGTTATTTTTTCAAGCTTTCCTGCCACTTCAACCTTGTATATCTTCACATCACTTTAACATTTGTATCTAATCGCACTGTTTTGCCCGCTTTAATCATGCGCATTACTAGCTGCTGTGACATCCACGTGGAGATTTGACAAAGACACAGTGGGACAAGTACATTGTCAAATGTGCACAAATAATCATGGAGAAGAGGCACGGTCGAACATTCCACTGAGAGACAGAAAGACGAGCATGGATCAGAAGAACATGTGCCAGTGAATGACACGTACTATTGTGTCTGCTTGGGAAATAAACATTGCTAGAAGGGATGTCCTTGTCTTTCCCGGAATGTTCCTGCTTTTGAGGTAGCTGAAATCCACCAGTCTTCCCAGGACATCGTCAGTTTGCTTACTAATTCACCACGTTTGTTTTTGTGTGTGAAAATAGCCTTCTCATGACGCGTTCAACTTTTTGGTTTAACTCAGAGGTAGCAAATCCTACCCACCTTCAGCAAAGCACACTGACCAGCGCGGTGAAGTATGGTCAAACCATTTCCATGACCTATATGAATGGCGTGGGGGAGGCTTTGTGCCAGCAGTTGTATTGGCAAAGAGCTGCACATTTAGTTTTTAGTAACAACTTACACTTTTTGTAATGCTTCGTATACTCCTGCTGACTGTAAATGCCGTGCGTTGTCATGTCCTTGTACAGGCAACTTGATGAATGCAACCAAATGTACTCCTCTCCCAACCGACGTGGACACTGATGGCCACAGAAGCAGCACATACTCTAGCAGGCAAGTCACTTCACATTGTTCATAAGTCTCTTGCTGAGAATGCCTCGACCCATGTGCGATAAAACCACCTCGGCTAGCCGGACGAATATTGAGGGTTCCTGTAAGCTCAGGGAACACATAACAACAACGACAACCGCCATTCGCCACTAAGTGGCGGTGACGTCACCACGACGCTTGTGCCAGGCTATGTGCACCTTGAGGCCACGTAAAGTGTCGAACGCCCGCTGGCAGGAGGTCACAGGGCAGACCCAGGTGCCACGGGTTGACTGACTGAGATGGCTGGCTGATGCACCACCTGTGCCCCGTACTGTGCCACACATAACCCCCCCCCACACACCCACACACACCCTTCCACCACAACTGTTTATCTTATTTAACCAGGTGACATCTCAAGAGACGAGAACAGTGACTCATCATTTCTTTTGTATGAGATTGTTCAAGGTGGGATGTCCATGGTTAACCATAACCTTCCATCACTCGACACAGCCATAACACCAAGTTGTCGCGTGGAGAAAAATACCATTTGGTTTATTTGGTTTACAGTATTAGCAAACAGGAATGCTTACAAACAAGCTAAATGTTGACAACTTTGTACGACGTTTCGCTCTAGATTACCTACATCCAGCATCATCAGTCAGCTCTCACGTGGAGTGAGCTGCAGAAACACTATACACATATAAGTTGTAGTATCCGTAACAATGGGAATATATGAAAAGTGTTAGCCTTGTTGCCAACTTGGCAGTCACCAAGCAAACAAGAACGTTACCGGGATATCCACAGCATTCCCACTGCTATTTTTCTCATGGTTCCACCCACCCGGCACTTCCGATTAGCACGGATGGCTACGTACGGTGCAAAAGAGGTTCAACATACAGTACACACATCCATAACACACCACGGATTTGTGCCATTGTTAATAACAGCTCTATCAATTTCAGACTTGAAGTTACTCTTGGCAACAACACACGTAAGTGTGCGCGCTACAAAGTCTTTTGCATCACAACCCACCTGCCGTGTTCTTGGTTCTTTCGGTAAAGTCACGTAGAAGGGAAATAATAAAATAATAAAAATAAAACATAATAACATTCAATTCTCACGACGTTTCGGCCACAACGCAAGCAGCCGTCCTCAGGTGAATTCCACCTACCGTGGCCAGTGTCTACCACGCTCTATTAGCTCTCGCTAATAAAGCTCTCGCTCACTCTCTCGCACGCCTATGATTGCTTTTTCATTGTTTTCATGGCTTTATTTTGGTGATTTCGAAAACTGTATTGGTTTAGCCGTGTTTGTTTGTTGTAGTACAGAGTTAGACTGATGGCCTTAATCTAAGTTGTCTTGTGGTTGTTGTTGTTGTTGTTGTTTGACTTGCATCCCACTGAGATTTTTGCACACAGCGTTGGTGTACGGTGTTTTTTCTGCAATATTCTTGGATTTTCTGTTTGCACTTAGTCACATATTCACTTTAAGATGTTTTCTTGTTCATGTTTTTTGTTTGTCGCGGTTGCACCCGATTCAAGAGCCGAATGGCTCACAGGGCTATACCTAATAAATGAACTTGAACGCTTGATGTCAATGCAGAGCAACAACTGAAATGTCGCTTGTGTTGCTGGTGCCAAGGGAGACCGACGATCGATGTTGGTCCATAATACAGGTTTTTTTCTGTTAGATCACGTAAATGTGTCTTAAACACTCCACCACCTGACACAGGCAAACGTCGTACTCAGATTGTAAATGTTGTGGCTTTGCTATCCAACACACCGGTGTTGCTGTACTAGTAACGAATTAGCATGTTCTGTTCTACGGGACAAACCTTACTAATTGGCTGTGTCGGGTGGTGGCGGGTTTAACGACACATTTATATATTTACGCGATCTAACCAAACCAAAAAAACCTGTATTATGGATGATATTGGGCGTGAAAGCCCACCACGTGTTAAACTGATCGATGTTAGGTCGCCGCGTTGATGACAGTCGTGATGATGATGTTACCAGGGTCAAGGCTGCTGCCATCGTCCCACTCCTACGCTATATTTATACAATTATATCCCTGCATAGCAATGTGGTGCAAAAGTGCACTTCCTCAACGTTTAACGCGCCAGAGCAGTTGTTCGACAATTGCATTTCCTTCCAGGAAAAGCACAAAAGGGTTTGAACGAAAACCCCCTTTCGCTAATGTGTAAGGCTAATGTTAAAGAACAGAACAGGAAAAAGTGGGGTCTTGAATCAGATCGCGGCACACGATGTGGGCAACTCATCACACCGCTAGCTAGTTGATGGCACATTTGGATCCCATGATGGAATGCGCATTATACATTTGAATTATAAAATGATGATTAATTCTACCGTGGCTAACTCTTAACGATATCTGTTTCCGCTATTTCACGCTGCTGTATTAACATTTGCAAAGGCCCCGTGGCGTTGCTGATGTCTGTGGTTTGATCTCGTGCCGTGACAGCGAACGAATGGCTCGGCTGTCCATCGGCGTGGCTGTTTGCCGCACTGGCGATTCTCACCCTCCTCCTGTTGCGGCTGTCGTGTTGCCTTGCCTGCACATTGAGGGGTGGCAAGAGGCACGCGAGGACTGCAAAAGGCGAGTAATTTATCGCGCAAAATCATTGCGACGTTATTGGCGACTCACACTTGACTTCTTGCGTGGCGAATTTGTCGTAAACAAAAGACAAAGATCCCCCCCCCCCGTATAGCCTGTAACAGACTGTAGGGGCAAGTGCTGTTAGCGAGCACCTATGGGGTGGGTGGCCAACACCACGCCCGGCCGCCTTTGTCTCCCCAGTGGCGATGTTTACACATCGCACCAGGTGCCCGGGACGGGTTAAGCTAATCGTCACTGGTGTTGGCCGTGAGCAGGTATCGAACTCGGATGATCGGGTTCATAGCGCAGTGCGCTAACTGTTGCACCGTCATAAAGGAACTCTCACGACCTGCATGAAGAGGCCCTCAACCAGCGGTGTATTAACAAATGGGCTGTATGTGAATATAATGACATACACACTGATTCTCTCATTGCTATGAATGAATGACTACCTGCTGGCTATGAAACAAAATGTGACCACTCGTGTCACGATTTGGTGTTTGAACATCTTAACACCTCTGTTTTATTTCCAGAAACGGTAAAGCCTATGCCTCTGCTGTACACGTTGTTTGGTGTTCTGAAAAGTCCATAGCTGTCAACCCATACGGTTTACCCCGTATTCTTGTACAGGGAAATTGAGTTTTCATGTTCATGCGGCGAACAACTGTTTTAATCCGGGCGAAAACTTTTTTTGTCTATTTGTTTGTGTTTCTCCCTTGTGATGGGACTTTTTAGGATGAGCTTTGATATTTATAGGGGCACAGGGTTACCAATAAGGTGTGAATTGGTCTGTAATAAGGTAGGCACTGATAAGGGGTTGACAGGTTTGAAAGTGCCAGTGTGGCATACCGTCATCTAACAACCCACGTTCACGAACTGCAATGCTCTGCAGTACATTATTGTGGAGTTTATTAAAAATAAATTTGGTGTGCATTTGTGTGGGTGCAGGTTCATGTTCATCCACGACGGCATTTTCCCTCCATGCGGATCCCTCGTGCAGTCTTTAGGTTGGCGACCACGAGTTTTTGTTTGTGACTGTCACCAGTAGCCCTCGGCTGTGGCTTTCCACAAGCCTCAACCCACGCATTCAGACGCGGGTAATACGTTTGGGCGTGGGTGTGCTCTGCCAGCCATAGGAGAACCTGTGACAAAATAAGTAATATAAAAAAAAACGTTTTTAACAACACGCTTACATGAAATGTACCCTACTCGTAATGGCAGAACTCTACGACTCCAGGAAGTGGTCGCAAAGCTTATCGTGGTGATTTTAAACTAACGTTAGTTGAGCGTGGACAATTAGACGCAAGCCGAAACATAACATATAAAAAAGATTGTTGAAAAATATTTGTTTTATATAGAATATATTATTGTCATCAGTATGACATAAGTATACCAAGTTTGCAGTCAATACCACATTGGGAAGTGGGTAAAATTTTAGTTACAAGATTTGAGGATACAACGACAACGACAGACAGAGTGAGTTAATAAAGAGCGTGTAAAAAAACTATTTGGGCGTGTTGCATAATTATAAACATACACGGGACAAGCTTAACAACCAAATTTTGATCACTTTAGTTCAATAGACTATACAATTATTTTTCGTAGTGTTATTAGAATGATGAGCTTTTGTGTGCATTAGAGCGCCGTTGTGGCGAGATGTTAACTTCCTCGCCTGGTATGCAGGAGGTCGTGGGATCGATCCCGACTCTGACGCCTGCTGCTGTATATTTAGAGTTTGCATGTCTCCCCGTGGATTTTTCTCTGGGCCCTCTGAGGTGTCCTTCCACATTTAGAAACAACGTGTGTTTAGAGCAGTGGTTCTTAACCTGGGATACACGCACCCCCTGGGAGTGTGTGATGCCCTTTCTGATAGTGCAGTTAAGAACCACTGGTTTAGAGTATTCGGCTCCTATAAACGTCCACATGATAATCCATTTCGTTGAGCTATCATTTGTGATAGCCAAGGTACTTCTGAAAAATAACTATACAGCTTTAGTGGGCCTTGCCTGGTAAAAATAAAAGTTTAATTTGGTTTTCGTCTAATGAATGCAGAACCCCTTGAGTGACTTGGGGCCCTAAGCTTCATGTGAGTTTGCTCGTGTCTCATGCCACCAATGCACACAATACGTGTGGATACGCTGGGACTTTTAAAAAAATCTGTTTTTACTGTCACAATCTATGTATGAGTGGCCATAAACACCCCTGAGTTTGCCGCTAACTTTATGATATTTTATTGAGCTGAAGACCCTTGTGGAATTCGAGCTATGACAGGCCTTAGCTCGTGGAAGTTATATGCAGGACTCAGGATTCTGCTGCCCTTTTAAAATACAGGAGCTGGTGGGACAGTATTTGCTTTTTTATTTTATTTTGTCATTGTGGTGTGCACGCAAGCCAGGTACAACGCGCCAGTCACCGGATGGTTTGTGGGGAGGGGGAACAGAAATGGTGGTGGAGGAGATTCGGCACGAAAAATGTGTTGGGTTAGAGCGTGTAAACATGTGTCGTTAAACCCGCCATTTATATTGACGCAATCTAACCCAACAACTTGTTTTATGGATTCTAAGGGTAGACTGGGTGTGAGTGGGGGGAGGGAAAGAACACGCTATAAATTTAGATTTAAAGCTTTCGTGACTGCAGGGATTCATCTTCTTGGTTTTTTCGGTAAAGTCACGTAGAATGGAAATAAAAAAATAATAAAAATAAAACATAATAAAATAATTCTCACGACGTTTCGGCCACAACGCAAGCAGCCGTCCTCAGGTGGAGAACAGGTCTGCTGAGGAGAGAGAGTCAACACACTATAAATCACGATGAGAAGGAATCTGCCACTATTTGGACGCATATGTAGGATGGACAACAACAGGAAAATGAAATGTGTCTTGTTAGGAAAAATAGAAGTAACCGGAAAGAAAGGAAGACCTGACAGAGAATGGCTTGGCGACAACAATAACAGATTGGTGCCAGAAAGATGTGCACCTACTTGGGCATATTGGCACAAGACAGAGGAAGAGTGGAAACAAATGACGAAATGTGCAGTGAACACCTCCCAAGATAACCACTTTTTTCACCTGATGACGGTTGCTTGTGTTGCGATCGAAACGTTGTAGTTTTATTTTTTGAACCTATCTACGTGAATTTTTTTTTCGATTTAAGCTTTCGTGCCTGCAGGGATTCATCTTCTTGGTTCTTTCGGTAAAGTCACGTAGAATGGCAATAATAAAATAATCAAAATAAAACGTCGTCAGAATTATTTTATTATGTTTTCTTGTTATTATTTTATTATTTCCATTCTACGTGACTTTACCGAAAGAACCAAAGAATATAACCACGACCACCATACTCATCGGCAGCCATTGTCTATCCACTGCTGGACGAAGCTTTACCCCACGCAGTCGCTATGCCCTTCACGATCAAGTGCATGGTACCAATCCATCTCACTCCTGCAAGGTGCACAAGTCGGCATCACACTCGGTGATTCTAGAATTACACTCCGTGATTATAGTGCCATCACGCCAATCTTGACCGGAAACGAATTTACTGCGAGCAACTGTGGCAACGTGTGCAGACGTGGCATAAACTGACAAAGTTTTTTTTTGCCAGATAAAAGGGTAAAACATTATTATCATATTTTGCTACTGGCAAATGAGGCTCCAATGGTGCTGACAAAGTTTTTCTTTCAAAATAAAAACTGAAAGGAAGCAGTGAATGTGTTCCACAACTAGCGGTGAAGTTTGCTGGTAGCTTTTACTCTAATTTCCTGAGTGGGTTTTAAAGGGCGCCGCGGTGGCGAGATGTTAAATACCTCGCCTGGTATACAGGAAGTTGTTGGTTCAATCACGACCGTGGATGACTGTATATTTGGAGTTTGCATGTTCTCTCTCTCCCTGTGGTCGTGTGCATTTTTCTTCGGGTCCTCCTGTTTTCCCCTCCAGGTTTAGCATCAACGTGGGTTTAAGCGTATTTGGTCGCGATCAATTTCCACGTGATAAGTCACTTCGTTGAGCTATCATTTGTGGTCAGGTCGCTTCTGAAAAAAGAGCTATACAGCTCAGTGGGCCTTACCTGGTAAAATTAAAACAATAGTTTATTTCAATAGTTGATAGTGTAAAGACATAAAAACTGCACTCACCTGAGCATCGCATTCCAGATAGTATTTGTGGCACACCTGCCTGCCAAACCTGTCCGTTAGGTATGCCGGAGTTAAAGTTGTTATATCAGTTAATTTATGCAATAAAGAAGAAGCATGTCAAAAGTAAGTTTTAAGGCTCAGTGATTTTCGTGTGGTTTAGTTCAGCCTATACTCTTTGGTTTTTTCGGTAAAGTCACGTAGGTAAAAGATACACTTCAAATCGAGAATTAGTTTAGCCTCCCAATAAAAAAGAGATTAAACTTCCACCACCGACTTCGGGGTCTATGAACATGACTGAGTCACGTGTCTCACCATTATCAGCTGTGGTAAATGCACTGCTGGGGGATGACGTCGCGCAGCCACCACCACCCACTCACGATCCCGTGATGCAAGCAGCAGGTAACAGGTGATGACAGAAGGGTTTTAGCTCCTGGCTGAAACGAAGAAAGGAATTTCACTAAGAATGAAAACATCAAAAACGTCCTGCCAGTGACAGTAAAAGAAATCCGTTTTTCACTTAGCTTATATACTTTTTTTTGTCACAATACAGTAGATGCATTTATTTGGAATGATGTAATAAAAAATCATATTTCATAAAATATATGTCACTGGGGAGATTCACTGCCAAGATAGCTGAACAATGTTCTGATGATAGACAGTATGCTCACAAAAATTATCAAGTCTTTTTACGAGCATTGTTTTGAATAAAAAATGTTGCTTGTCCTGTTCCCACGTGCGTCACTCTTATTTAATGTATTATTGTTATTATGTTTTTTTTTGCATTGAATGCCAGGCGAGCTGAAAACCTAACTTGGTAAAAATAGAAAAATTACGTATTAAGGCAGAGTTGTCCAGGTAACTCAAAGGATTGTGTGCCGAGCCAGAATCACTGAGATTCTGGGTTCTAAATCCAGACAGCCACGTGATTAAAATAGCTTCTCACGTGTAGTGAGTGAGTGGATGGTCCTAGTTTAGTCACCAATTATTGCATTAAAAAAAACCCCACCTGTAACGGCATACATCGAACCTAGACGTCGGTAAGGCGACTGAACTTTTGAAAATGTTAATACGGTAGAGTTAAAACACATTCCTGCGGAGGGAGCTGGTAGGACCGTTGGGTTGCTCGGTCAATGGCCAGGGTCAACGGCGGCGTGGTGTATTCCGCAAATATGCCCGACTGTGAGGGCGGGCACAAGCCGGCGTGAGTAGGTTAAACGTTGAGTTTTATAAGGGCACCACGGGGTGACCAGCCCCTCCCTCCCCAGCCCCACCCCTCCCACTCCCACCCAGCCCCACCCTCCCCACCCAGTGCTTTGGGGCCGTCCATAAATGACGTCACGCACCTGGGGGGGGGGGGTCAGACATTTGTGACGATGTGTGACGAGGGGGGGGGGCAGGTTGAGAAATGTGACGTCACATCAAAATGCGCAACTTTAAATAAATGTAGACAACACGTTCTACTTAATTAAATAGGCGTTTTAATGTTTTCTCCTACAACATCAGAGTGCAGCGCCACATTAAATACGCACTACAATAACAATAGTTTAAAGCGATTTGAAGCATGTTGGTTTTGGGGGGGGGGGGGGCAGAGCTTTGTGACGTCATATTTGAGGTAGAGGGTCTGACTCTTTGTGACGCCTTGTTACGAGGGGGGGGGGGGTCAAAAATCGTCCAAAATCGCGTGACGTCATTTATGGACGGCCCCTTTGACGTGATACGAGCCCCGAAGCCACCAGCTCCCTACGACAACGAGTCAATGCCACATTACACGTGCAGTAGATGCCGCAGTGGGCTGCGTTTCGAATCACCAACACATTTAAATTCACAATTGCCAGCGAGTGGCTCAACGTATTCATCATCCTGTGGAGGATCCCAGTGTCGATACACCTGCAGTTGGCTCTGATGTAACTCGCTGGGGGAGGGGGGTTCGTTGGGGAGGGGGGGGGGCATGGGGGGATATGCAGGTGGGGGAAGAGGGGGCCCTGGGGGATTGTCACGCCCCAGAGGGGGGCACCCCCAGGGGTGGAGAGGTAGAGGCTTTGGACATAATTTGCGGGGGGGGGGGGGGGGGGGCAGAGCACTGTGAGGGTGGGGGGCAATGCTCCGCCGTAACCGGGCACATTTATTAATTCATTTTCAGTAGTTTAGAAATTAAGATTAAAAACAAATGAATGACATCCACCCGCGATTCCTAATGTAGGGGACAAAGCGAGCCCCTGCTACCACCAAATATCGAACTCAAACTCCGTACTTAATCGGCTGCCCGGCTGGTTAGCTGGCCTGTGGGCCGGTGGGTTACTTCCAAAGGACTTGCCGGCTGCTCGGTCATGTAAAGATGAAATGCAGCATTGCACGACGGGCATCCAGCACTCAATTATCACGGTTGGCTACGTAGGATGCGAAATAAGTTCAGCACGCAGGTACATACATACAAGGTCTAAAAATGCATCACACCCATTGCCAATCCACTGCTGGATGGAGGCCTTCCCGCTCCAAGTTAGTTATTGGGGGTTTGACCATACTCTTAGGTTTTTCGGTACTTTAATTAATTTAAATTTATTTTTTTAATTTTTACCTACGTGACTTTACCGAAAAAAACCTAAGAGTATGAATCCTTGCAGTCACGAAAGCTTCAAATCTAGGTTTGACCATACTTTACGTTGGTTAGTTGGTGAATGATGGAGGCCCAGGACCAGTTCAGTTATCACTCGCCACTGAGGTTGTGATAGACCCAACGCAGAAGATCCCGGAGTTTGATCTTCCACGAAGCTCATGGTTCACCCTAAACCACATCTGCTGCACAAACCATTGCAGATGCGCATACCTGATGCACACAAATGTAAACTTTAAAAAAACCTCTCTAGTCGTGTGCGACTGTGGTCATCCTGAACAGACGGTACAACATACTCTTTGGGTTTTTTTCACGTAGGTAAAAATATTATATAAATTAAAGCACGACGTTTCGGGCACACCGCTTAAGTGTGCTTTCGCTAAGTTGTCCCCACCTGAAGAAGGACGCTTGTGTTGCGCCCGAAACGTCGTGATTCAATTTATATAATTTTTTACCTACGTGACTTTACCGAAAAAAACAAAGAGTATGAATCCTTGCAGTCACGAAAACTTCAAATCTAGAATAGACGGTACAACGTCTAACGACGCAATGCCCGATCCACAAATACGAAAGAGACATCACAGCAATGATACAGTTTAACACGTAGCAGGCTTTCGCGACCAATATTATTCATAATCAACGTTTTTGGGTTTAGATCGCGTTATTTATAAATGTGTCGTAACCCTCCACCACCCGACACGGCCAATCAGTAAAAAAGTGTCACGTTGACAAAAGACAAATAGTTCACTGCTTTAGCCCACCGGTTCTGGCGAATTGCCCGATGATGCTGGATGCAATTACCAGCGAAACGTCGTACTCAAATTGTAAATGTTGTGGTTTCGCGCTTCAACACACCGGTGGGCTAAAGCAGTGAACTATTTGTCTTTTGTCAACGTGACACTTTTTTACTGATTGGCCGTGTCGGGTGGTGGAGGGTTACGACACATTTATAAATAACGCGATCTAAACCCAAAAACGTTGATTATGAGCAGTGATACACTCCGCTCCTGATGCGGCAGTCTCGCTGGACCACCTAAATGTTACATTGAAGTTGTTGCTTTGCATCAGCCGTACGTCAAGAAGTCCGATGTCATCGGAAGCACGGAATTTCATTCAGGTCATGGTTCTGTGTGTTAACAATTGTAAGTTATACAAGATGATTTTTCCCATTGTGGAAGTGCAAAAAGTGCAATGTTAACAGTTGTGTCTAAAAATAAACCCACTCGTGTTGATTACCGTGGAAACAGTTACAAAACAGAGTGTTCAACTGGACATTTTTTCATTAACTGCCTACTGTAGCATTATCCCACAAGAGCCCTCAGCGAAATTGAATTCCTT